TGCGATTGAATACAAAAAAAAACATCCTCCCATTTCTCTGTCATTCAATTTTTGCCTCTTTCTCTAAACGTTGTGCTGCCGAGACTTGCGTGAGCTCAAAACTTGATTGGTGTTGCGCTCGTTTTTTCTTTTTTCTTCACTGAACTGTTTCAATCAATTTATTTTGAGATTTTTTATTCGAATGTCTTCTAGGCCATATCCATCCCAAGCCTTTTCGTATTCCTTTCGTGGTTCAACTCTCATCTGTTTTCGATACCCTACTAATTGACTCCTCGATGAAGCTATCTATTAACCCTAACACTTCTTTTCTTTCGACACAATACCTGTTCATCCTGTGGAAAATTCTAAAAATCATTGCAAATTATATATTTATAAATGCCATTGCATTGAAAATTCAATCCCCAGGACAAAACCAAAAGTCAAAATGCAAATAAACAAAAAGCCAAAACACACACAGCGACAGCAGACAAAAGACAAATTATTGTAGCTTTAGATTAAATGGACGCACATTAAAGCAGTCACACACACACACCACTGTAAAGGAGGAGGAATGCCACATACATATGTACATACATATGCACATATGTATGTTATATAAATTAAGCAATAGCCAGAAACCGAAAAGGCGGCCCAACAGCAGCAGAACTGAAACTTTGTCAAGCTTTCTCTCCGGTTGTGTCCCTTTCATTTCCATTTATTTGTGCCTCCTCCCATTTTTCGGTGACGTGCATAAACTATTTGTGAGCACTGTGTGTGGAGGGGGGTTGGAGGAAGCGGAGGAAACTTCTACCGAAATAAAATAATTAAATGTTTGTTGTCTCTCCTCTGGCTCTGGCTCTGGCGCTCTCCTTCAGTTGAGATGTTAACAAAATTTATAAGACAAATAAATTTTAGCAGCAGCAGCAACAGAAAAAATAACACCCAGAGGCAGCAGATTTGTGGCTCTTTCACTCTGTCTCCCTTTCTTTCTCTCTCTCTCTTTCTATGTCTCTGGGAGTAAAAGTACAAAAAAAGGGTCAAATTTGTGCGTCTGTCGTTTGCAGTGGGTCCCGTCCTGTCCGGACCGGTCCTGTGACCAGAAAATTAATTTAACTGACACGTTTTTCATTCAGAAATGAAAAGTACATTTTGTCATAAATAAAATTCTAAGCTGCATTTATCACGGAACTGGGGGGGCGAAGAAGATGGAGGTGGCTGGAAAGAGTTGATGATGTAACTTTTGATGTACCCCACAAAAATATGGACAGGACTCAATAAATTTGTGGATTTTTATAAGACAATATCTATGTATGTACATTGTACATATAATAAATACTTTCTACAAGTATAAGGAAGCTTGATGTATTTTCTGTATTTCCCATGGAGTAGTAGAGACCGATTGGTTCCATTTATATTTAAAAAAATTTTTATATTTATACAAAAGTATCCTGATCTTCCATCTCTGAGGACTCTTGCCATGGTAGATGGTATTTAAATATCGGGGTTTTCCGCAATTTCTGCGACTGCATCCATTTTTCGGCTCCTGCTCTCTAGACCCATCTCACTTGTCTGTGTTTCAAGTTGCAAATTTTCCATAAGAATACGCCCAAAAGGACATCGTTGTGCTCTGGCAGTCTCGGGTTAAGTGAATCTAAGCGCTGCACTCCAAAGCCCAGCCAAGCAGACGCCGCCGCAGTTCCTCTCAGTTCTTCAAATGGCCGCCTGACTCTGGCATGCCGACGACTGTCGACAAGATGTGTCGCGTCGCGTCGCGTCGCATCTGCTATAATCCCCAGCCATGTGTGGGTGTAGGTGGGATCGGGCGTTGGTGCCTTTTGCATAATGAGAAGCCGAGTGACAGTCACTTCTACCTGATGTACACACATGCATATATACATATGGATGTAGAGGTGCGTGGGAGTGTATGCTTATGTGGGTTTTTACATCAGTCTTGTCTTTAGTTGTGGGAACTTTTTGTAAACATATCCTGTAATTTTCGAGTACTCGGTTACGGGTTATATTAGTGACAAGTAAGTCCAACAGATAGAGCAACATAATATGTATTTCATTCACTCTTTTCTAAAGATGATTTTTTATATATGTATATAATTAGCAAAAATCAATTACAAATAGATATTATCCATTATAAGATAATAAAATAAGTCAATAAGTCGGTGTAATGGGTGTCTTACAGTCGTATAAAGACACGCGACAGTTATGTACCGTTTCTTGCTTGTATTATGGGATGCGCTTGCAAGTATGCAACTAATTTGGTGTGTGTTCTCTTCTCTGCTTTCAGGTACTGCAACTTATACTTTTCTTACAAACACAGCAACACACTCTCACCCTCACACACACACAAACACACACACTCTCGCAGACATACTCAAGCAATAAAAGACTCCAATCAGATGTAACTATAGAACTGTAAAACTTTAAAACTGTAAAAACCCAAAGAAAAAACACGATCAAAATTCCTTAGGAAACAAATCAAATCAGCATTTACAAGCAAAAAGTCTGTTCAAGAGAAACAAATTGAAAAGACATTGAATCAAAGAGATATATTTTGTGGTATTAAAATGAGAATACATAAGAGGAGCAACAACAACAACAACAACAGCAACAACAACGAATAGATTACATGCCTGTGCAAGTGATTGTCAAACTGTTTGCCCAGATCAGTGCACTAACAGAGGAGAAGAGTGAGGTGAGCCGCCTGCCCAACACAACACGACGACGGAAGCCTTAACAGTCGCTCAGCAGAACGGAGGCAGCAAAATGTTGCCAGCAACAACAAGAGCAACAGCAACAGAAGCAGCGCCGAGTGACTCCAACAACACAAACACAAACAACTATAACAACAAATACAAATACAAATACAACCACAAAGCGCCTTTTCAACGTCGCTGCTGTCACAGAAGCAGAATTACGACGATAACATAAGAAAGAGATAACAACTTAAAGAGAGAGCACAGCGAGAGAAGTCAAGCTTGCAGTTTCGGTTCACCGTTTTCCCTTTACCCTACCCCTATACCTTTTTCCACACCGTTTTTCCAAATTCCCCCTCTTTTTGACTCTTGCTTGCAATTTTTGTTGTTGTTGTGTGTGCAGTGTTGGTGCGGGGGTGCCGTGCCCCGTGCCCCGTGCCCCGTGTGCCGTGTGCCGGTGTGCGTGCGTGTGCGCTGGCCTTGTTGGGCGCCTGCCTGTGTGTCCTCTCTGGGGGAGAATTTGATTATTTTATTTGTATTAAGCGCGCGTTATGGCACAACAGCAGCAGCATCAACAGCAGCAGCAGCAACAGCAACAACAACAACAACAACAACAAGAACACCTACAACACCCACACCAAAACTCCAACAATCAACTGCAACAGCTACAACTACAGCAGCAGCTACAACTACAGCTACAGCAGCTACAAGAACAGCAAGAACAACAACAACAGCTACAACCACAGCAATACAATAACAATTTCTACAGCCAAAATTATAAGTAAGTTTTAGAGTCACTGGCTGTCCACGCTCGCTCTCTCTCTCTCTTTCACTCTGTGTCTCTGTGTCTATTTCTATGCCTATGACTGTTTGTTATTCGTGTCTCTGTTATGTGTATTGTTCTTGAGCATGTGCACTCACTCTCCTCCCCCTACCCACACAGTTCTCTGGTGCTTTAAAATGAAAATCAATTCAAATGCAAACAAAAGCAAACGCAAGCGCCCCGCCCACTCCGGCCCCTTGCAAAAATTGCAAACAGACACCCATAAAGCTGTGTGCATGCCAAACTGTTTACATGCGCTAGCTTGTTCTTGTCAAACTATCAGCAGCTAGAACTACAATCTCATGCGTGTACCTGTACAACTGTTGAAACTTATAAAACATCCTGTAAAATATACATACATACATGCAAGACATCAGCACATAGGAGTATGTCGCGGGGACAGACGAAATTTGTGTATTATTTTAGTGCCGACCACTCCCTCTATAACAATAATTAACATCTTTAAACCCCCGGAATTCGTGAAAAGTGACATTGAACAATATGAATGATCGATTTTTAGATTGCAAATCTTCAAAGACTGTTATCGATCACAATCAATTCCAAACTAAACAATTTAATTCTATAAAATAAATATAGAACGCATGTAAATACATATGTACATATGTATGTATATCCATTCCCAGTTTGATAAAATGAGAAAATACTTCTTGAATTTGTAAATTTAATAAAAGTTAAGCCGCTTAATCGATTGGACATTGACTAGAAAATAATCGATGAATGTACAATTGTGATCGACTCTTTTCGATGAGCATTACACGTTTCGATCTTAACTGATTGAAAGTACAAACAGATTTCGAAATTTAATTTAGTTGCAAATTTGGGCATTAAATCAGTTCCTTGCTAGTGATGGCACATCTTATTTGATCGAAATTACGACTACTTTTTCGTATTTTTCATGAGGATCAGTAGATAATAGGGATTTGCCCATCCCCTCTCTATTTTCTGCGACAACACTAATTTCTCTGCGCTCTGCGGCCACACTGTGTCTCGTGTCTCATAAATCTGAGACGTAGTTCTAAGGAAAAAACTAACCTCTAAATTGAACGAGTATACGTGGGTTGTGTACTCCCTTATGCACTCATTTTAATATATGTATGTAAATATTGTAACATGTATGTACATAACCCCTGCTTAAGCACATATTGAACGGCAGGTAAATGTATTCCCGCCCCCGAATGTTGGACACGGCGCCACACAGTGCATGCTAAACTGTTTGAGCATGGGGCGGGGAGACGTGACTGTGACTGTTCCTGTTTGTTCGCCTAATGTTTGTTGTTCGTGTTGTTGTTGCTCTGCCTGTGACATTTGTTTGTTGTTCTAATTGTTGTTGTTGTTGTTCTAACTGCACCCAAAATCTTAGCGGAATATAAACCAAACCCATATACTACATATGTACATACATATATATGTAGACTCTGTGTAATTTTTTGTCATGTAAAATGTTTTTTATTTGTATTTTTGTTCTCCAGCATGGAGGAATACGAGCGACGGAAGCGACGAGAACGTGAGAAAATAGAACGGCAACAGGGGATACAGATCGATGATCGGGAGACGGCGCTTTTCAGCGAGCCGCGACGGCTGACGGAGGGGGATGCCGAGATCACGGCCGCCCTGGGGGAGTTTATCGATGCGAGGGTCTACATCAATCAGTCAACGGTGGGGATTAGTCGGCACGCGCCCGGCGCCGGCAATCCGCGTCTGCAGGCACCGCCGCCGCCCAAAACCGTCGGCCATTCGCACTCACCCTCCTCCTCCGCCTCCGGCTCAGCCCTGCCCGGCCAGAGCCAGCAGCAGCAACAGCAACAGAAGCAGCACTACCAGCAGCAACAGCAACAGCAGCAGCAGCGACCTCCGGGCTATCTGAAGCAGGCGGACAACAAGCCGCCGTACAACGGACGCGGCGGCTATCCGGGGCAGCCGATGAAGAACGATATACCCTCGAGTAGTGGCATGGCTCCGCCCCGGGGACCGCCCAGATCTGGCCCTGGCTCCGGATCCATCTCCAACTCTAGCAGCAACTCGTCCAGCGCCACAAACAATGCCACCGGCGGAGCCGCCGGCACGACTCCCCTGGGTCCGCCCCTGTCTACGCAGATGCCCAATGGGCGGGAGAAATCGTTTCTGGGACCACCGGCGCCAGCGCTCAACAATGGCGCTGGCCTCTTTGTGCCTCCAGCTGCCAGCAAGCGGCCCGGCAGCGGCCCCGGACTGCAGCCGCCCCCGCCAGAGGTAAGTCCATGCATGGGATTACTGCTTCAAAAGGGACCTCGCTAACTGTCCATCATCCACAGAAGGACATCAGCAAGATGATCAGCGAGATGACGAACAGCTTTCGGGTGACGGCCCCACTGACGTCGATAGCGGCCACCCCACATGCCCCGACGCGAGAGAACTACAACCTGAACGGGCCCAACACAAACAAGTATGCCTTTGGGCCGATCGGCTCCCCGCCCATCGGCTCCCAGTCCTCGTCCCTGATGGCCCCACTGTTCGCACCCATTGCGCCCATCGCCTCGCCCATTACCTCCCTGCTGACGACCCCGCCGCACGCTAGTCAGCTGCCCCTAGGCGGCGTGAGTCCCGTGGCGCCACTGCAACAACTGCCGCCGACACCGCCCAAGGCTGCGTCCGCCCTCTCCCCGCCAGCAGCGGCCAAGCCGCTCAAGACGGAAAAGAATCATACGCTGGAGAAGCAGGACTCATGGTAAGAGATGTGAGATTCAGAGAGATTTCCTTTCGATATCTAACCGTTCCGTTCCGTTGCGTTTCTGTCACAGCCTCGAGAACGATCTGGAGCTGTCCGAGTCGGAGGACGAGCAGCGCAAGAAGGAGAGGTGAGTGGGGGCTCTTGATGGATTCCCGTTGCAGATCGCTTAGTAAATCTTCTTAAATATTGCAGTAGATCGGCGGGGAATAGCAGCAACAGCTCCGAGTCGGATTCCAGCGAATCGGGCAGCGAGTCGAGCAGCAAGGGTGACCACCAGCAGCAACAACAACACCACCATCACAACCATCACCACCAGCAACAACAACAGCAACAGCAGCAGCAGAAGCAGCAACACCTGCAGCAGCAGCTCTTCCAGCAGCAGCAGCAGCAGCAGCAACAACAGCAGCAGCAGATCCAACAGCAGCAGCGACAACTGACGGCGAATGGCAGCAAGAAAAAGTATAGCCACTCGATCATTGCCGGCGGCGGAAGCACAATAAGTGGTCTGCTAACGTCCAGTGGATTCGGCGGCGGTGGTGCCAGTGGCGGAGGATCCACAGTGAGCTCTGGCGGTGGCGGTGGAGGCAGCGGACCGGGCGGAGGATCGGGCAGCAGTTCAGGAACTGGGACCACGAGCAGCGGCAGCTCCTCGAACAAGACGCCCTCGCCCACGGAGAGCAACAAGTGGACGCTGAGTCGCTTCTTTCCGAAACCGGCCAACCAGACCAGCTCCGAGAGCGTCTCGCCCGGTAATGTGAGCATGAAGGTGCCGGGCATCCTACCGGGCGGCGCTCAGATCATACCCGAGTCCATTGAGGTGACCACGGCCATTGTGAAGAACGAAAAGATTCACGACGACCACATGGACATGGACGATGGCGAGGAGGAGGACGAGGATGAGGAGCAACAGCAACACCAGCAGCAGCAGCAGCAGCTGCGCTACGGAGCCGGACTGAGCGTCACCCCCGTGGCGGTGGCCGTCAAGAAGGAGGCCCTGGACGGCGTGGGGGAGATGGGGGGTCTGCCGGCGATACCAAAAAACCAGATAAAACGGGAAGCCGAGGGCCTGCACTCCGCCGCCCGTCTATCGGACTCTGGGACCAGTGGCAGCGGCAGCACCTCCAGCAGCAGCAGCAGCTCGGACAGTGCCCCCGGCGAGGTGGTGCCCATGCCAGGACCAGGCGAGACCCTGCAGCTGCCGGGAGTGCCTGCTGCCATTACGACGGTGATGCGGGTGCCCCTCACCCTGATGCAGAAGGCGCCCCCAAATAGTGTCACCCTCACGCCCATTCTGCCGCTCCCCGCCTCGCCAAAGCAACGCCAAAAGAAGCCGCGCAAGAAAAAGCCCGCCACCAGCGCCCCCATCCTGGACTCCAGCGACGAGGATGAGCCGCCCGCTGTCAAACATGCCCTGGAATTGTCTGCCACCGCAGTGGCTGCGGCTGCGGCTCAGGCCCATGCGACAGCCACGGTTCCTCCGCTGGCAGTGAAGAAGGGACGCGGCAGGCCGAGGAAGCAGCAACAGAGCGGCGGCAGTGGGAACCTCAGCAGTGCCTCGGCCGGCAGCAGCTCCCAGACCAAGGGACCCACGCTGACGGCCGCCAAGAAGCCGCTGGTCAAGGGCCCCGCCATGGCCAACTCGAGGAAACGCGACCATTCCAGCCAGAGCAGCTCCAACGGTAACACGCCTACAAAGAAGCTGGCCATGGGCACGGGCACAGGTTCAGGCATGGCCATGACAGTGCCCATGACAGTGTTGGCATCCGGTCCGGCCAATGCGATGGCGGTGGCCAGCAGCAGCTCCGACGAGGACAGCTCGTCGAGCACCGGTTCCACTGTCTCCAAGTCGAGCAGCTCCTCCAGCAGCAGCGACGACACAGAGACCAACCAGAACACAAAGTGTCGGATCGTGAAACTGAACAAAACGGGCGCAGTGCCGCCCCAGGCCCGCTTGGGAGCGGGTGCCAGTGCGGGGAGCAGTGGGAGCAGTTCACCGAGCAGCAGCGGGCCAGAGGATCATCTGGCCATGAGCACGGCCAGCGCCCTGCCCATGGCCCAGCAGTTGATGCAGCCGTACAAGCCGCGAGCTGTCAGCCAGCACAGCCAGCAGCTGAGCAGCTCCGAGTGCTCCTCGTCGAGCGGCAGCAGTACCAGCGGCGACGAGGACGAGGCCAAGCGGGAGAAGGAGCGGGAGCGCAAGAGGAAGAGCGACAAGAACAAGATCAGCACGCTGACGCGCATCTTCAATCCCAAGGAGGGGGGCGCCAAGAAGCAGGGCCAGGTGGTGATCATGGACCAGTCGGAGGAGCAGCAGCAGGTCAGCAAGGTTGGCGACTCCGCCTCCCAGCCAGTCCCGATGCAGACCGCGGCCATGGCCAAGCCCCGCATGACGCCCACCCAGCAGCAGCAGCAGCTGGGCGCAGGCCTGGCCTCCCCAGCCCGTACCACGACGCCGCATTTGACATCGCTGATATGCAAGATTGACCTCAGTAAGTTATCGCGCGAGCGGATAATGCGCCTGAAGAAGCTCACACCCTCCCAGCAGAACGGCCATCTGACGCCCAAGGATCTGGGCACGACACAGCCCCAGCCACAGGTGCAGGTACAGGCACAGTCGGTGCAGGTGTCGGCCCCGCATTTAACACCCAACGGCTATGCCGGAGAGGGGCATGGGCATGGCCAGGGCCAGGGCCAGGGGCTGCCTGCAAAGGTGAAGCACGAGCATCCGCATCCGGTCAAGCCGGAGCCAGAGCTGGATGCCGGCTACGAGAGCAAGTTCAAGCCCGGCAACGTGAAGCAGGAGTTCCAGCTGAAGCAGGAGAGGGATCGTGAGCGGGAAAGGGAAAAGGATCGAGAGCGGGAGAGGGAGAGAGAGCGAGAACGGGAACGGGAACGAGAAAGAGAGCGGGAACAGCCAACAGGAGGAGGGCGTCGCCGCAAGCGCAGCTCCAGCTCCAGTTCCAGTCCGTACAAGGAAAAGAAGCGGAAAAAGGAGAAGTCCGACCATCTGCAGATCAGCAAGGATCAGCTGCTGCCCGTGCCTGTCCTGCTGCCCTCTAACAACCACGAGCGAATGTCCTGCCACGAGCGGTTGTCCTTTGACAAGCTGCAGCTGCTCCACGAAGACGCTGCTGCTGCCGCCGCCGCTGCTGCCGCTGTCTCTGCCCCCAATGGCAGTCCCAGCAAGAAACTACTGGTCATGTCACCGCTACCGCCTCCGCCAACAGCCGCAGCCGTGCCCCTCGCGGTTGGGGCGGCCTCCACATGCAGCGAGGCTGTGCAGACGACTCCCCCGTCGACAGCCGCAACGGCCACAGCGGCCACCTCCACGACGGGGACCTCCACGGCTCCACCGGCGCCGATCATGCGTCTCATATATCGATCGTACTTTGACCGTGAGGAAGAGCCGCACAGCGATGACCACAGGTATGAGTCCCTCTCAAAAATCAATCTGTATAGCCACACTGACTCTGACTCCTGTTCTTGCTTTACTCCAACTCCAACACGTAGAAAAAACAATCAGTTCCTCGTGGAGGCCGTCAATCGGAAGCATGCCGCCGACTCGGAGCGCGACTCCTTCAACCAGGTCACCCTCTATTTGGAAGCCGTTGTCTACTTCCTTCTCACCGCCGATTCCATGGAGCGCTACAGCTCGGAGCAGGCCACATGGACCATATACAAGGACACCCTGTCGCTAATTAAGTGAGTAATGTGTGCCAACAAAAATTGCAGGGAGCGACGCCCGTGTTGCCTTCGTAACCCATTAAACGTTTCCCGTTTTGTTACAGATTCATTTCCTCCAAGTTTCGTCCCTACCAACAGTCAACGAATGGACAGCACGAAACGCACAACAAAGTGGCCATACTCAGGTGAGGGTCGCATAATCAATATCTATGATAAGTTCAGGAGGAAAGGCTAGCAGATAGCCTGGCAGATCCTTTCTTCCCGAAACTCGCTGCAATGATTCATGCTAATGATTGCCGCCCATTCCATCTCTTTGCTGTTTCCAGTTTGCGCTGCCAGTCGTTGATTTCGTTGAAGCTGTACAAGCTGCGACGGGCCAACTGTCGGACCGTCATCAACAGCTTAACGGAGTTCTTTCGGACCGGCAGGGGGGACATTGTCAATGGCAATACGCCGTCCTCCATATCACCATCGAACTCGGTGGGCTCACAGGTAAGAGTCGAATAATGAGGCAACCGAAAAGATTTGAATGGCATTGATCTGAATTTGCATTGGGCATTTGGCATTACAGGGCTCCGGTTCGAATACTCCGCCAGGAAAAATAGTGCCTCAAGAAATACACACTCAGCTGTGGAAGCAGAATGAGTATCTGACCTATGTGAATAGTGCTCACGAGTTGTGGGATCAAGCTGATCGATTGGTGCGCACAGGCAATCATATAGGTGAGTAGATGGGATGGAGTGGATGGCCGAAAGCTGGCCGAAAGAGTCGAAACTAATATCCAATCAATCAATGCCACTCCACTCAGATTTCTTCCGCGAACTGGACCACGAGAATGGCCCGCTGACGCTGCATAGCACCATGCCTGAGGTGTTTCGGTATGTGCAGGCGGGCCTCAAGACGCTCAGGGATGCTGTGTCGCATCCGACGCAACAGACGCAGCATCAGTCGCACTAGCGACAGCGGAAACAGAAGCAGAGGCAGAAACAGAAACAGAAACAGAAACATAAACACCACCACCAAACGTGTCTAAATGAAAGTCAGGCCAAATTAGCAACTATTATACACTACAAGCTACTAATTTAGTTAATCAAGAAACACTACACGAAACGAAACGAAACTAAACGGAATAATCCAAGAAGCCTTCCAATATCAACAGCAAGGAGAGAACCAACCCCAATCAACCAACCAACCAACAACAACGCAACACAACACAACAAATGATTTGTTAATAATTTATAGTTTTATATGTATGTATGTATGTAATTTGTATATGCACACCAATTACTTATTTCCTTATGCTCAATTTTCGATTGTTTTGTAAGCATGTTAAGCTTTATATTTATGCCTAATTTTAATTGATATTACCACACACACACACACACACACCACACAAACACACTTAAAGATAACTTAGCTATATGTCTAGACTGTAAGCTCAACCAACCAACAAATAAGCAAAAAGTAAACCGACCCTGACCCTCTCCCTGACCCTGACCCCCCCTTTTCATTGTCCTTCCTGATGAACATTTTAGTTAAATTTTGTTTTCGTATGCGTCAAGAGTAATGAAAAAGAATGGCTTTTTTAATTGTTTAAGTTTTAGTTAATTTTTTCTTTGCTTTGCTTTGCATTGCATTGCATTGGATAAAGAGAATCGATCGTGTTAGCCAATATATTTGTATATGCATATTATTGCGACTATATAGGAAAAACAAGTTATAGTTATAAATTCCTTGTAATATTTTTGATTATGAATTATGTTTAGTGCAACTATTTTATTGATTTGAAAGTAATTTTTTAAAAAGCAATCACAACAACGTTTTTAGAACAAAATACATGAAAGAAAATATGTATGTATATATATTTATATATATGTATATTGCAAATATATCATCGTATATGGAAATTTTAATATTTGTTTGGTTTTATTTTGGATTTGATTTTATATCTTATTAATTATATTTACTTAATAGTATGAATACGAATTATATTTCGTGAATACATTGCCCTACCTACTACGTCCTACTCAACCAGCACCTTCCACCGCTCCCCGAAACGAATCATCTTACCCACACTTTCGATCCACTTCGATTCGACTTCAACTTAATGGGTGCCTCAAAACTCTCACACAGACGCAACAAAAAATAGTGCATTAGTAGAATTAAACGAGTTAAAATCAATTGAAATAGACTTGCCCTCAAATCGATATACTTATACATATATTAACTGTACATATATAGCAGCCATATACATTCGAAAATATACAACATACGATAAACTCGTACATATACATACATATATATATGTATATATATATATATATATTTTTAATATGCCAAACAAAAGCGGAATGCAATAAACTACTTTAAGCCGAATCGAATCCAATCAGCCAGCACAAATGGGGCCCATGAAATCCCCAACAGGTCCAAGACCCCAGTCCCTGAAGAGGGGATGAGGGATGGGCTTTTAGGATGGTGGGATGGTGGGGTGGGTGGGTCTGCCCAAGGTGCTGGCAGCATTTTGTTGTTGACTCTTTTTTGGCATAGAACGAGAAGCGAAATCGAAAACGAAAACCACGAAAATCAAAGCGAAAACGTATGTAACGAAAAACCAAAATGAAAACTTTATTAAACAATATTATTAAATATGGTTCTGGGGAAACAAAGCATTTCACTTTCAACAAATGAAACAAAAGAAAACAACCAATTAAATTCTAGACAAATTTTAAGTTACCGGACACTTGAACGAGAGAAGAAGAGTGGAAAAGTGGAAGCGCAATTTTATTGTGCAATGCAACTAAGTGTAATTATTATAAATTAAATTAAATACATACATACATACATACATATGTATATGCATTGTTAATAATTCTCGAATGCTGTAAATAGTAGTACACGGAGACACCAGCCTACACATGCATAGTACATACATATAGACACATGCATACATTCATACGTACGTACGTACATACATAAACATAGAGATGCATTAAAATCCACACTCATATATTGGCATACACGTACATATATAAAGACAAACAACACATATACATACATAAATATATATATATTTTTATATATATACAGATACTAAACGACATAGTAATTATACATAGTTAAATTTTTTCAAAACGACAAGATCAACTTGCAGCAATAAGCAACAGCAAAACAACAACCAAACAAAACAAAAACAAAACAAGAAACAAAAAACAACCAACAAACGAAATGCGCCTAGAAATAGTTAATAATTATATTTTGTTAAGCGTTATTCTAGTGAAAAAAAAAACAAAGAAAAGAAATCGAGAAAACCACAGAATTAAGTTTTAGGCTCTGGCCATTATTCAAATGTGAAGCAACGGCAGACACCAAAACGAATGCAAATACGATGTTGTTCATTAACAAATTAAACGTAAAAGTAACGGTAAAGGTAAAGGTAAATATATATATATTTTGTACAAATATAATTAAAAAACAAAAAAGGATAAAACCAAAACAAAAACAACCGCGGCAACAGCCGCTGCAGCAGCAGCTAAACCAAGTACACTTATTAAAGTTTAAGCAACAACAAAAACAACAACAAAACAACCAATTTAATATGCAATTACCATAACAGTAGTTGATAAATCAAACGAATAAAACATCAAAAATTGTAACATTTAATAACGCCAGCCCCCCAAAAGTCGTTTCATTTATAATCCCTGGTGTTAATCGTACGTGGTATGGATTACAGTAATACATACTACTGCAAAGTCGTCGGTATTGATCGATTCGTATAGCCAGACGAGCAAATGATGACCTTGACAATTAATAAAACATATTTGGGCAATATTCATTTGAATTTCAATCGAATGACTATTAAGATTAAATTTTTTTTAATTAAATTTTTTATCAATTAATATGGATTTTACGAAACTAATTTTGATTTCAACAAAAGTGGTTTTGATATCAACAGAGGTATGAAAAAAATCGCGTATATAGGTTTGAAGATAGATTTTTATCTTCCCACGCTGATCCTTCTGTTCGCTCACCCAGGTACGAACACTATTCACCAAGTTATCTTTATCTAGCATATCGTAAACTTGTATATTGAGAATCTTTAGCTGCGGAATTCCCTTGAATTCGTAATTGGCATGGATATATGGAGGTATAGAAGGTTCTTCAGCCTCAGTAAGTCCGCAAAGATGACTGTGTCGCAGGTTACTTCGAGTTTCGAAGTACTTCGAAGAAATATACCTGATCCACGGACAAGGCCCTTTTTCTTTATCAACCCCACGATTAACGAGTCGCGCAAATAACCGCCATGCACCATCTGCAAATGTTGCAGCCTGGGCAACTGTCAGACCAGCTCATAGCGCACCGTTGCAACGTAGTACTCTATATAAAAGACCAGACGTTCCAGCTGCTGGCAGTACGTTCAATCCTCTTCCTCTATATCCTCTATAATTGATATCCCTCAACCACAGTTTCGTTAGACACGGAGGTTGCTAGGGATTCTTGTAGTGCGTGGTCAGATCATATTTCAGTGTCCAAAGAGATGATCTTTTTGATGCTGACCAGATGGGACCATTCTATCCAGTTCAGGTCAAATTCGATTTTAAATTTTTTGAGATTTCTACAATGGTCCTCCAGCTAATTCAATATAGTATTGAATTTCTCATAGCTCTCATAGCTAACCAGATTCTCGCCAACGATCTGCAACAACTCTTCCACCTCATAAGATGATATATTGGTATTTGTTTTGAGCAATTCATCAATGTAAAATTCTCCAATCCACGCTTCGAAGAAGCGAGTCTTTTACTTCCAGATAATCGAACACGACTCTCCAGCAATCCGGCATGTTGTCCGGCATGTTGTTCGAGTAATGACGGGATGCGAAAGCAAGACGAGCATCCCAAATGTATGTGTGTACACGGACAGAAACAAATTTTGACAATTTTCTTGCGTCCGAAACCGCGGTTTTTTCTTGAGGTTCCAGGTTACGTAAATGCGTGTGTGCAACGTATTCTCACATACTGTGCTTGTGTGGGTTCTACAATTTTTGGCCGCTTGAACCGAAAATGGTTTTTCGTTTTATTTTGAGGGTGCCGCCTTTCGACCGGCGTTCCACCAGCAAGTCTTCCGTTTCAAGGCCGTGGAGAAATGGTGCAAGTTGGATCCACTTAAGTTTCTTTCCCACCTGATCTGGTACAATTGAGACGGTAGTCTCTTCGCATACCTGGAGCGACGCCACTGGGCCTGTCATCAACAACGAGGGATTCAAGCGCATCGATGAGGTGATATTTGCCACCTTTTGCCTACTTGCAGATCTTCTCCAACTGCTCCAACGGTTCCTTTCATCAGTTGTACGAAGAGCAGCAGAAGAGTAAGAGCCGCAGAATTCCGTCCCCCGGATCGTCTCTATCGCCATGATGTCGATGAATTGGTCTTCAGAAGCAAATACTATCTCACCGACAGGGAGCTCACCTACGACACCGACTAGCATCATCTGTCCGAACTTATCGCGCTCCTCAACAGTTTCAAATTCAATTTAATCATTATCTCGCAAAATCCGTACAGGGAACAAGGGTACACCAATACCCATGCTAGAAAAGTGGAAGAAGCTGTGGATCATATCCAAATCTAAGATGAGCTCTTTCTGCCCAAAGCCGATCCCTTTGTGGCCTTCTTCGACTTCACGATTCCTATTAGATCCACTAGAAACTTTATTCCTTTGTTCTTATGCTCGGACTATAATTCCCTCTACCATATCATCTAAATATATTAATAACACTAGTCAACACGATTTTTACTCAATGAACAAAACAAACTTTTTCTTAAAGATTTGGGGCTTAGAAATGGTTTGATGATATTTGTTTTTTTCTATGGCAGAACTTTTTTTTAAAGAATTTTTGAAAACTGGTATTTTTTTAAGCTTTTTTCAGAGGTATCGCTTCTTTTTTTCACATAACTCTAGTATCTTACGTCTGGTTATAAAAACTTTGCTATTGAAAAGACAATTAAAACAGCTAGAAGTTAAGCCCCAACACTTTTTTGTGATTTCAGCTTACCGTCTGGGAAATATAAAGCATTGAAATGCAAAAATTATGATTTTTGTGCGGTATTTTGTACGAAATTTTGACTTTAAAAACTCAGGAAAAGTCGAAAGAAAATTATATCCTGTGTCCTCTATTTTTTATGTATAGGGGCATTAATTTGGCGTCGTTTAAGGTATCACTCATTAAAATCTATGAAGAGACTTTGGAGCTAAAATTCGTTAATCAAACCTAAAATATGAAAAAAATTTTACAAAAAATACCTTTTGGAAGGTTGCGGGCCCAACTGCCAATTGGGAATTGGGATGTATGGATTTTATGTGTAATGGAATTATCCTCAACTAGTTCATACAACGCAAACTGAAAACAATAATGTTTTCTGTCCTTCTAGTGACTGAAAATAGAGTGGATTTAT